ACTCCTTTTCAATAGATTACGTACTAATTTTTATGAATTTCATGAGAAATATGAAAAAAACAGGTGTAGCTTTTTTTATACTATGGTAGTCAAAGGGTTAAACGAGGTATATTTCACACGTTTTCCGGAACCTCAATTTCCGACCTAAAAATTTACCTTTATTGTCCTCAGTTTCTGGTATTTCTTATTTTTGATGATGACGCGCGCGGTTTTTCATTATTCTGACAGGCTCAGTCGATAGAACATCAGCAATTACATCTACCGTGAAATTTTCGCCTTACTTTCACTCTTCCTCGACTCACAATAGCAAAAACATGAGAAAAAGAACTAGTTTTCCCGAATTTTCGGCTCATATCTCGATGATTTGATAACTTAATTGAGAGTTGGATACTTTATTTTGGCATAGTCTGAAGGAGCACACAACTTTACATATATCCAACAATTTTCTATAGCTCCAAGGCTATGTTTTGGGTCGAAATCAAGGTAAAATGAACGCGCGATGAGATGATACCATCATTGGGTGAAAATCGATTTTCTCCATGAACATGCAATTCTTGCTGCTCTGCTAGATTAGTAGTGAGTGGATGCAATCTGTTCATATTGATAGTACATACACCCTATTGTCATTCAGTGGAATATAGAGTGAAGTGGTAAAATCTAACCGTTGTGTTCAGGCAGTATCCAAATGAAACCGGTGGAATTTGGGCATACTATAGGTGGTTGGATCAGGGTTAACAAATTCAAGTTTTTATTATGGAATCAATTTGTATTATTCAAGCGAGAACACCGTTTTTATCATCTATTTTAGTAGTGTTGATGATGTAACGAAGAGACAATCGATCATGTCATACGTGTGTTCTTTGTTTATCACGAAAAGAAAATGACCAAAAACAAAAAAATAAAGTTTATCATAACAGTTCCCTTATTTTAAAAGGGGGACTAATCCTTATAAACGGCCGATCTAATCTATTAAACATTTTCTTCTTTATACGCAATATAAAAAAAAAAGAGTCATTTTAATTTGTTGACAACACAAACATTTCACCATAAATCATTACAAAGAGCGATGAGAACAGAGAACGGTACAAGCTCGTAAACGATGGTATTCATATAAAAATGTCCAATCATAATTCTAAAAAGTTATTTTACTTGATTAAATATGTTCAATTATTAAAATATTAATAAGTTGATGAACGGCTAAATGAATGAATGGACTAAAAATTGTAAAAGCGCTATTCATTCGAATAGCACTGATAGCACACGGATTAATTTGTGCGTGGAGAGTAGTCGATACGAATGGTAATCGGTATTGTTGGGTCATATTAGTGGGTTTGGGATTTCTTCTTGTTGAAACAGGAATTGTTATTTGGCTAAGAAATGGTCAGGAATATAAAACGTACGTCAAAGAATTCTTTTTTTGTTTACGTCATATTGTATATGCTTTTATTTTCATTTCATCATAGAGTGGCATTCTGTATCATTTTTTATATGACATGTAGTGCACCGTCGCTATGGATTATCCACGTCGAAACGGCCAATAGAAAACTCTATCGTTTGGCTGAAAGTAAACTATCAACAAGACGTACACCCACTCTTGGAGTAAAATTAAACAAAAATAATATCATTCAAAATCACAAAAATTTAAATATATTAGGTGGATTAATAACGCATCCTACAACAACGACAGCAACAACAACACAACAAACGGTACTATCCATAGCTCAAGTTGATTGTGAAGATAAGGTAACAGTCTATTATTAACGATCTGAGAAAATGATACATTCACCCATTCATGCATTTACAGAGTGTATCAAAAACATTAGACAATGAAAGCTAGTATGCTCTAATTTCTGCCTTTTTCTTGTTAATAAACTTTAGGAGTTTTAGTTTATTGTATGCTCGCATCTGAAAAAGTTCTTATGTTGTATTGCATCCTTGTCTTCGATTGTAACTTTTTGAGAGAAGAAGATAGAAAATTTCAGCTTTTGAAAAGGAGAATTTTGGGTGAAAAACGAGGAAGACTGAGGATCCTAAGAAATTCGATTTCGACTCAACAATGCTCTTTTTTAACTTTTTTGTGGATCTAAAAGGGCACATGAGCGATTTATGTTTCATTTCATCATGCTAGGGATATGTTACAAGACAACTTTTGCTTTAGATCAACAGATTACACTTGAGCTTCACCATCTACTAAGCTATTTTAATGAGCAAGAAGTAAGTCTCAAATAGAGATGCAAGTGTTAACTAAACTGTAAAAATAAAGAGAAAAAATGATAAATGTTTTTAGTCAAAACCCACTTCTAACATTTCACAGATCAGATTTCAAAATCACACAATACTATCATTGGTTTTTCATTGGATACTATCTGAATCATTTTGAGCTGTTTTCGCTGTTTTTGTTCAATGATTGTTCAAAAAAAGTTTTGTTAATGTATTAGACAATATAAAAACAGACTGTTATCTAAAGTGCACTGTTCTTATTATCTAAAAACACTTCGTCAAGAGTTGTGTGAAGAAAACAGAGCGAAGTTCTTATGATAAAAAAAATTATTGTTCATTTCACACGTGATTAGACGTTATTTACTTAAACTTTAACGGAAACTGATTCCGCTTACGAGAGAAGAGAACCTTTCGAGATGTTCTCTTCCGATTCCAATGATTTGTACATGGATCGATAGACCCCAGTGAGTTAGTAAATACCCTAAATGGATTCGGGCCCATGGCCCTTGAAGGTTCAGTTTTCTGAAAAACCAGTTTTCCAAGAATTCTAAAAATAACCAAAACCTTTTTTTAATGAGAAGTGATTGTAGCCCACAAATTTCTGATTAAAATGAGACATTTCCCAGTTCTGCACAACCTTTCTTTGCAAAGTTATAGAATTTACAAGAAAAGCCCTAAATGTTTACTGTCAGCTCAAAGCTACAGAAATAAGGAGAAATTAATTTAGGGCTTTTCTTGTAAATTCTATACCTTTGCAAAGAAAGGTCGTGCAGAACTGGGAGATGTCTCATTTTAATCAGAAATTTGTGGGCTACAATCACTTCTCATTAAAGAAAGGTTTTGGTTATTTTTAGAATTCTTGAAAAATTGGTTTTCCAGAGAGAGTCATGGGCCCGAATCCTTTTAGGGTATTTACTACTCGCTGAGGTCTATCGATCCATGTACAAATCAGGGCTCGAACAAGGCAGGCTACAAATTGTTGGCCTGCACCAGGCTAAGGCAGACCAGGCCTAGACTGAAATAGATTCAGGCAAACGTCTGAAAAAACCAGGCGGCCTGGTCTATGAAATTTGCGTATTTTTATTCAAAATTTAGCATTTCGGCTCACTAAATCTTGACACAGTTGAGGATATCTTGTTAGTCAGATCACCTAAGAAAATACCTGAACAGAAACCAGATTTTTTTACTTAGATATATTGTTTAGTTATCTGTCACTTTTCTTTTCATCTTATGTTACTACTATTTGTACATTTTGATTATTAAAAAAATTACCAGGCTTCTACAGACCAGGTCAGGCTAGGCCGAGAGTAATGGCAGGCAGCCAAGGCCCAGGAAATATATCGAGAAGTCCAGATAGATCTAAACATTACAGACCTGACGCAAGCAGACCAGGCCTCAAAAGTGTCGGCCTGTTTCGAGCCTTGGTACAAATCACTGAAATCGGAAGGGGACCCCTCGAAAGATTCCCTCATTAGAATTACAAAATAAATGAATAGTTCGGTGAATCGTTTTTCTAAGCAAAACAGCGTAAACGCTTCATAGTCATCTAGGAAATGATTAGGGTCTCAAGATATTTTTTCGCATTTTAAGGATCCTATCATAATAACAAATTTTTTTTTTCATTAGTCCTGGTATTATGTGGATGAACAACGTTGGCTTGATCTGTTACAAGAGTCGATGTTAGTGTTATTATGCATATGTCGTCTATTAATTAGCCATGACCATTTATCGGCTGAAAAAAGTGGTATTCTATTTATATTATCTATAATGAATAGTGCCGATTTATTATCACTGTCAAATTCTTTACAATATCATGATATTATTACTGAACGTTTATGGATGTATATTGGTTTGATTTTATTAACAATTGTTTTATTTCAATTAGCATTCATTGAAATAAATGGTTTTACGTATTTCTATTTTAATTCACAACCGCAACAACAAAAACAAAAACGATATTATTATCATCACGGACAAACTGTTACTGAACGATTTCGTTCAAGATTACGTCTAACTAGTATGGAAAAAATGAATTTCTTTCAAGATCAATTAATATGTCCACTATTTAAATGTTTATTTTTACATGATGGTTTATTTCTAATCTATCGTATACTATTATCAGCTAAAATTCGATGTTCTAAACCAACATTAATGTTTTACATATCAAAGAATATTTTCATGATACTATATCAGTGTTATCGAGTGTATAAATCTTCAAAAGATAAACATAAACATTTAATCTATGAACGATTATATGATTTGTCACCGCCTAATAGAAAAAAACAACGCCGCCATCTCTTTCATTTTATTGAGCAACTGAGCAATCCACATCATATAACAAAAACACATTCAAATATAGATAAAACGAATAGACGACGAACATTGATGAAACCACGTATGAAAGCACGTTCTCCATCAAGAACAATGCCTACAGATTATGGAGCACCCTATCCGTTTGTTAGACGACAACGCGGGGGTAAAACATCATATGCTATTTACGGTTTACCGTTTGTTACACAACCTCGACGTCGCACGACATTATCATCAAGAAGTAGTCAATCATTAATGAACTTTGCCAGAAATGATAGTGGGATAGAGCCAGGTTACATACGCTGGCCACCACCGATATTAAATCATAATACTATAGCTAAAACAGTTATTGAGTAATCTTACCTAATTCGTTTTTTTGTGTAATTAACTGTGTTTTTGTTATATGATGTGGATTGCTCAGT